TCGCGGCCAAAGTCTCCTGTGAGTGGCCTAATTGTATTTTCGCGGCCAAAGTCTCGTGTGAGCGGCCCTTTTGTACTAAAATATCGCATTGCTGCCTCTCTTCTCGGTCGGACCAGGAAGCCGTGTCGAACCGAACTCGAGGATGTTGTCTTAAGCGGTCGACACGTTAATTCCCATTTTCGCGAAGCATTCAAAATTTGGATTTTTTACCAAATTTTTTCCGCTGTCTAATCGACCAGGATTCTGCGTGATCGGCCTCTTTCGTTTCACTCGGCCTAGTCTCGTGTGAGCGGCCATTTTCCGAATTTGTCGGCCTAGTCTCGTGTAAGCGGCCTAATTGTATTTCGCGGCCAAAGTCTCCTGTGAGTGGCCTAATTGTATTTTCGCGGCCAAAGTCTCGTGTGAGCGGCCCTTTTGTACTAAAATATCGCATTGCTGCCTCTCTTCTCGGTCGGACCAGGAAGCCGTGTCGAACCGAACTCGAGGATGTTGTCTTAAGCGGTCGACACGTTAATTCCCATTTTCGCGAAGTGCGAACTTCGTTTCATGTACTTTAGTTCATTTTCGTGAAGTGCGAAAATGGTTCACGTGAAATTCCGTTTTACGTGACGTTTTACGAACGATTACAAAAAAATGCCGGCTTGTCCAGGGGCTAACACGTGTTTCTAGAGCATAAATTTAATTGCAGCTGAACATCACAGATGGCGACGTTGGTCCTAAACAGTCGTTAGAATAATGAATTCCCGGGATTTCGACAGTTTTTCATCGATCTCTTCATCGTTACTTTACTGAAATGGCACATGAAACGCTTCATTTCGTATAATTCTCAACATGGAGTGTAAAAGATTTCAACATAAATATAAATATCGGTAACGTGACGCACCAGCTTATATCACCACTTGAGTATTCAAAATGACTATCATCAACAAAGGTTTAGATGAATTTCAATTTATCGACCTAGATTCAATTTCTGAGCGCATTTCATATCATCTTAAACGTTATCAATTTTCGTATTTCATATCAATTTTGGAGTAAACCGTCTGCCGTCTCCGAAAGTTCTCGGCGAGGAGTAACGAAAGGAGGCATCGAAGCGAGAAAATCAAATTCATCGATTTTTTTTCCGTACTAGGTGTGGACTAGAATCGAAGTCGAGCTTTTACGACGGTGGTGCAGTTTTTAGACCTGTAAATGAGAGGCCTTCCAGCACTTTGAAAGCATGCAAACCGTAATGGCGGCGGTGCCCTGTAACCACGTGGCATTAGTTTTCCGAAACGGGCAAGGCCTGTAACGTTGATACATAAAGACGCCATTAAGATAACGTCAGGTTCATTACGACTTGGTTCTCGGTAACGTGGGCTGCCTTCGTAAACTCTGAGCTTTAGGGGTGGCTGACAGCACAGGTGTAACCCCTTAACTCAGGAAACGAATTTAGAAACGATCTCCTTTTATGAGGCTTTTTACTGTGGTAATCACTGGTCGCTTAAATTGGTGTCTCAATTTAAGAATTTTACATCCATGCATATTTCATGAGTAATAACGGAGGAGTCGCTAATTTTGCGGTGCGTGCCCTCGGTACGTAAACTGTATGCTTTAATCACTGCCCTGATACCAGAAATAAATGTCAAGCCAATATTTGTCTCCTACGAGGATTATTAATCATTTTATCAATCAGCGATAATGCCTTTTCAAGTTGTTATTTTATGGCGCGTGCTCTCGGAAAGATTGCACCTCGGAAGCAACTGGCAACCGAGGTGTATCCACCAACTCAGAAAATCAACATAAAAACCAACTCTTCTCTACGAAGTTTCACCAATTTAATCAGTGAGATCACCTTAATCAATTTTCCATGCACATATTTCATTCATAATTGGAAAATAGTTGACACTTTACATTATGTACACCGTAAAACTCGTATATTAGAGCGGCTGACGTCAGACATGCACCTTCCTACCTCAAGAAACGAATGTAAAACATCACCAGCGTTTTTACCAGTATAATAAATTTCATAAATCGTCCTCTTAATTTTTAAGCAGTTATCAACATTTTTTCGTTCTTATAAATTTCACGGGTAATCGCGAAAATGACGCTCGTTTCTCGGTGCATGCTCTTCAGTCATAAACACCATGGTTTATGAATAGCTAGTCAGCCTAGGTGCAGCTCCCGGCTCAAGATATGAGTTAATAAGCAATCTTTTTCCCCAAAGGTTTTTACCAGATTAGTCAGTCGCTAAATTCGGTATCTCAATTCAAGATTTTTTCTCCCGTCCATATTCCACGGATAATCACTGGGGCGTAAGTAGAAATCCTTAGCACAATTTCTTTTTTTTTTTACTGTCCTAGTTGAGATCTATGTAACAAATTTAGGCTCCTTCTCGCGCACCTAAGGATCCGTGCAGTTGACGAAGGGGCAATAAACCCGAGCAAGGATATTCTCAAAGGGTCTCTTTTCAAGGGTTTTCTTCAAAAGTACGGGGCAACTTCTGACGACCATGTTTTTTAACCCTTTGCCGTACTTTAACAAGCTTGACTCGTGATACAAATTTTGGCCCAAACATTACCATCACGAGTCAGACTCGTAATCTCAATTTCGGATAAAAAAATTGTTCTGTGCTGCAAGCAACTTTCCTTGCCATTTCGACCGACTTGGAAAATTTTCACGAATCACTTGGGTTGGAATTTTACCGAGTTAATTAGTACGGCAAGGAGTTAACTCTCTAGAGTGTCCATCTCTAACGACCAGACGTCGCTCAAGGGTTTTTCAGGGCTGTTTCAAATACCGGTATACCTGTAATTACCGTAAACTACGAAAATTGCTGTAATCGGTATCCGTATTCAAAAGTTTTCCATTTTTATATAGTCGATAGATAAGTAACCACGAAACGGTCGCAAATTCCGAGGTGCATGTTAGACCGTAAACTCTGCACTTTACAATCAGTTGACAGCACGGGTGCAACCCTTGCTTCAGGGAACGACATTAACCCTTTGCACTCAAGAGGTGCCTCTCAGACACCGCTGGCAACTGGAATGGCACAGTCCTCAAATGCAAAGGATTAACACTAACTCTCAGGTGCCGATTCAATTATCTTCCGGTACATATTCTACGGATAATAACGAAAAAATCGTTAATTCCTAGGTGCACGTTCTTAACTCGTTCGCTACCACGATCATAGGTAGAACAACAGGATGTGTCACACATACGGATGTGACGACTGGCAGCTATCGAGTTAAATAATAAACCACACATTAGTGGTGGTGATCGACAGACTAAGTGCAACCCCGACTCAAGAAACCAATTTAACATTAATCTTCATTCTCTCGAACTGGTATCAATTTCATCGGCATCCCCATTAAATAATTGTCCAACCTTACATAGTTTACGGAAAATCACGAAACGGCCGCAAATTCCGAGGTGCATGTTCACATTCCGTAAACTCAGCACTTTAAGAGCAGCCGACAGCACTTATCAGGGTGCAGCCCTTATCTCAGGAACCGAATTCAACGCCAATCTTCATTCCTTATTCTTTTCTTCCCGAAGGACGATGTTTACTTGATCAACCTCAGAAATCAGTGTTCAGTTTCACGGAGTGGAACGAAAATAGAGTATTGACTTTCTCCATCCGTAGGTGTTTTACAGATAATCGCGGAAGGGTTTCTAATTCCGGCGTACACGCTCTTAGAACCCATACTCTGAGCATTCGAGCCAGCTTCGTTGTACTTACACGTCCGAGCATATCGAACTGTCCACGCATATGCACCCGGAGCCGTACGAGAGCTAAATTACCCCACGAATGCGGAACAAACAGGGTAATTGCCGTCAATTAGCAAAATGTTGATCCTAGATCCAGGGATTCCGCGATTACGGACTTGATCGAACTGGCGCGCATTTAATCTCGCGACTAATTATTATACAAAGAAGTAGTATCCGATTCTAACATTTCGACGCATCAAATTGAACATATTTGCTGCATCTTAAAAATCAAATAGGGGAGACTAGGGCTATTTGTTACAAGGATGCTGCAGCAAGTTTAGGAAAGCTTTCGCTATGTGCAGCGCCTCCACTTTATTGTAAGAATTTTTTTAAATATTATTTAAATATTTCTCGGACTCAAGAATTGTCGCTACAATGCTTCTCCGCCAGTACCACCGTTAGTTGTTATCTTTCGATTAAATTTCTTTAAAAATAAACTTACGTAAAATCGTAAAACGAATATTAAAATTAAAAACTCATTTGAAAAATTTGCAAACAATGCGAACTACATGACTTTCGAATATTAAATTTATAATTTTTCTTTGCAATTCCACAAGATTACAACGCGGTGTTATAAAATTCTAAATTTGCTTAGAATTTTATAATAAATGTATACTAATTCTCTATTAAGACACATTTATAATATTACTGCAACCTTACGTACCAAAAATGTATGAATTTTATGAATTTCTTTAACAGGGTATATTTCACTACTTTTTGTTGTTATCTTCTCCTTTCTTGTTTTCTGTTGGATTTACATACGTTTTCAGCAGAATTTTTTACAGGTAGCAATTTGTCTCCTCGTGGAGCAAGTACACTTTACAGAGGACAAAAATAATTCAAATTTAAGTGTATTAACTGATTGACATAAAAATATCAACATTACAAAATGTGCCCGAGGGTTTACTCGATCGACGATGATAATCCCAAGTTTCCAAGTAGAACAGGAAACTCGTAATAAATTATTAAGCCGAAAATTAAATAATTAGCCGCGGTCTCCCCTACCTATATTAACGTAAGCAATTAAATCATTTCACCTTCGCCGCCTTTCGCACCGAATGGATTAAATGGGTTTCGCCCCCAACCTTTTCTGAAACAATACCTACAGCTTTCTCAGCCCGCCTCCCCAGGTGCATAAAAATATTCGATAGCTTCGTGCATCGCCAGGGATGTGACCTGGCCGATAGACGGCTGCGCACCCCCTGGGGTGCGAAAAGGTGACGAAACTGAAAAGGAAAGAAACGCGGACCTACCTCATCTCGAAGTCGTGGATGTCCTGGAGGGTGAGGGTGTTGGTCACGTCCAGGAGCTGTCGCATGTTGTCCTCGCGACGTCTGTTGTCGGCGTCGGGGCGCAGGAGGATGGTGGCCGCCGGGGCGTCCAGGGACAGGGAAGGCTGCTGCACCACGATCGTGGCCTGGGCCGACCTCTTGGTGCCTGCTGCACCCCCGCCTTGGTAGCACAAAAAGGAAGATCAGTCCCTTTCTCGAGGTTCCAGGGGTCACCGGGTCGCCGGAAAGCCCTCAGAAGGCCTCCGGAAGGCCCGCAGAAAGCCCCCAAAAAGCCCCCAAAAAGCCCCCTGAAGGCCTCCAGAAGGCCCCCGAAAGGCCACCGAAAGACCCTCGGAAGCCCCCCGAAAGGCTCGCAGAAAGCCCCCCGAAAGTCCCCAGAAGGCCCCTAGAAGACCCCCAGAAAACCTTCAGAAAACCCCCAGAAAGCCCCCAAAAAGTCCCCCAAAAACGCCCAGAAAGCCCCCTGAAGGCCTCTGGAGGGAATCCGGGGCCCCTCGCGGAGGGTAAGCACCATAGAGCTCGTAGAAATTAGAGAGGAGACATTACTACAGCATATGTCTTCAAGTGTCCGGAGAAGGTAAGATAGAGGAAAGAATCCTCTCTCTAAACAACCCCGAAAATATGCTGCGCGCGCATAGGAGCCTCGATACCAAAAACCTGAGCAATAGGGCGAATGGTAAGAAACTTTTTTTTTCCCACAGGAAATTTCCTCATTTCACAAAAAAATGGCACGGCACGGCCTACACTTGTGCAGTAAGAATTTCCGTCAGTATTTAGAGAGGTAAGAAATCTCTCCGTCTAATCTCCTCCGAACACCCCCCTTCCTTTTTAGGTCTCCTTCATTTCTATAAACTCTATGGTAGGCACATGCGGAAGAGGCAGGGCTTCGGAAAACACCGCAGAGTGGACTCGCTGCCATTTTGAGTCGTGGGGGTCGATTGAACTTTGATTTCCTTGCGTGAACAAATATATCTTCGACAAAAAAAAAGAGACCCGTGGTAGTATGGAATATACTTGCGTTTCAATGGAAATTTTTGTTTCCCCCTACGAATAGAGCAATAGAAGGCTGACAGCCTTTCAAGGATTTTGATTGGCAGAATAACTATTTCCTTTTGCCTGGCGATAATTACAATACCACTATTCGACGTGCCGCGATTAGGTTATGGTTTCGCTTGTTACTTAGAATGAATGAAGATATTACGAAATCTGTTTTTACGCTTTTATTTCGTAAGTAAATGCATTCGTAAGGGTTACCGTGAAGTATAGTGCATCATCAAAGGAAATATTCCCAGACGGCACATCTACCGTAATGATAACGAAAGGCTATCTTTTTCGAGTCATCTTTTCGACACGACGAATAGACATATTTTACTAAATATATTTTACTATTTATAAATATTTTACTAAATATAGCAAACTAAAAGATGTCTTTGTATGGATGCCTAATAGAAGAGGTGAAAAACTATTTTTAAGATGTTAAAAAGTAAGTGGAAGGAGGCAGTATCAGTACCATTTCATTCAGATACAATTTTACATATAAATATAATTTAAAAATTATAGCTTTACCTTTTTATACAAAGATAAACTTAATTTCGAAAGGTGCGCTATCATTTTCTATGTCATTTCGTTTAATAATTCAAATTTATATAGTTTTTATCTTGCTAGTGGAGCATTCACAGAGGTTTGTGATGTTCAAATAACATACCGCTGCAGTTGGCAATTTTAGATTACTGTTATAATTTTAGTAATAGTTACAAAGTCATTGGTTACGATTGCAAGGGTTCATAGCAGAGGAAATCGAATTATCTAAAAATATAGTACTTGGTACTGAAATATTCGCTGCCCTTTCAAATATATTTACCAAAAAAAAACAAACATATATTTATGGTTACTTCAAAATTTGGTGAAATATGCCTCTAATATAAACTTAATAGTAATTTTCATAATCTTAAGTAAAAGATGAGGCGTCATCTTTTTGTCGACTGTATGGCATAACCAAAGAATGACTTTTCAGGAAATTCGGCATCTTTTAAACATCGTTTAGTCGTCGCTGTCCTGTTTAGTTCTTGTCACACTTAACACAATATTTATTCCAATTTTCCACTATTTCTTTTGATTAATATGCAACTGGAATAATTCTACCAAAATGCAAGTATATTCTGCAGAACCTAACTTTGTAGGAGGTTCCTCCGGATTTTCTAAATAACAATTACTGAAAACTCTCTCCGTAAAAAGTGGAATAATTCTCACTCTTATCTTAAGTCCTTTTGATCTCGAGAACGTAGGATTAAATGTAGAGCCTTTGGAAAGAAATATTAAAATTACCCTCAAGACTTCCCTGCTGAGCTTTGTCAACGCGAATGTTCTACAAACAGGAACTAAAGGTAAGGAAATGTATTATAAACAGGTCCTTTGTCGCTTTATTAAAATTTGTCTCAGGAAATATTAAACTGAAGACAATAACAACGAAACACTGAATACCTAGTTCATCGTCAGGAACGTCCCACATTTTAAAATTAACTATTAACCGTAACTTATCCCGCCGATATTCAGCATAACTTTTTCTTGTGTTATTCAATAAACAAAAATTCGTAGAGAATTTCCTTCCGTAATTAATATTTTCCCCACAACTTTCAATAAAGCTCCAAATATCCTACATTTACATAACATTGACCTTTAATTTCTACTCACACGTGCGTCAATTCAAGATTGGACATCTTAAACTATAGAGTTTCTGTTAAACTGAATTAACACTCCTATAAGGCAAAATTAGCTACCGAAATGTTAAGTGACATCAAGCTGGCGAGCAGATTTTTTAATTTTTTAATGTCATACGCTACTCTTGTCGATTATTTCTACTCACACGTACGTCAATGCAAGATTGAACATCTGACACTTTAGAGTTTCTGTTGAAGTGAATTAACACTCCTATAAAGCAAAATTAGCTACCGAAATGTTAAGTGACATCAAGCTGGCGAGCATATTTTTTAACTTTTTAATGTCATTCGCTACTCTTGTCGATTATTTCAACTCATACGTACGTCAATTCAAGATTGAACATCTTAAACTTTAGAGTTTCTGTTAAAGTGAATTAACACTCCTATAAGGCAAAATTAACTACCGAAATGTCAAGTGACATCAAGCTGGCGAGCGTATTTTTTAACTTTTTAATGTCATTCGCTACTCTTGTCGATTATTTCAACTCACACGTACGTCAATTCAAAATTGGACATCTTAAACTTTAGTTTCTGTTAAAGTGAATTAACACTCCTATAAGGCAAAATTAGCTACCGAAATGTTAAGTGACATCAAGCTGGCGAGCATATTTTTTAACTTTTTAATGTCATTCGCTACTCTTGTCGATTATTTCTACTCACACGTACGTCAATTCAAGATTGAACATTTTAAACTTTAGAGTTTCTGTTAAACTGCAGTGAGACACCTATAAGGCAAAATTAGCTACCGAAATGTTAAGTGACATCAAGCTGGCGAGTGTATTATTCAACTTTGTAATATCATTCGCCAGTCTTGTCGAAATGGCAGCGACCCGGTGCAAGGTGAAATGCTAATTCGCTAAAAGAAGGAAAGAAGAACTAAAAGCAAAAAAGAAGCATGTCCGTGTAGCCAGGCGAGAGGTTTTAACACGAGAGGGAACTATCCATTTCATCGGATGGTACTTTGTCCTTCTAATGATGAGCCGTATGGTACATCGTTGCAAGTGTACCAGTACCGAGGAGAAACCGTATTCTTGCCAAAAGCTTTTAAAGCCGCGAATAGGTAGAAGCGAAGCTTTCGGCCGATTCCTGACACCGGGCGAACCCCGCGCTCAGTTATTGCACGGTTCTGTATGGTAATGAATGGTTTTGCGGGACACGGTAAATCGCTACATCGCCATATGTAACGTTACGACAACCATAAACTTGGTAACGCTAGAACAGGGCATAACCTTGCGACATGGGCCGCGGTTTCGGGTGACGATACCTGTCAACGGAGCACTTTGCGTCAACGAATCATTGCCAATTTGAACTTGCGACAACATGCCGTCCAAAATAAAATCGTTGCACGAAGTATCACGATTCGTTCTATTTTTATTCCGTTTGCCAAACAGGAAATTAAGACGACACGAAAGCCGCTGAGAAATTCAATCGACGTCGATGAATTAAAATTCATCTATACCCTTTTTGGTGGTAACCCAATTTTGAATACTCAAGTAGCAATGTAAGCTGGCGCATCCCGTTACCGACATTTATATTTATGTTGAATTCTGTTACACTCTACGTCGAGAATAATCCGAAATGAAGCGTGTTTCACATGCCATTTTAGTAAAATAATGATGAAGAGATCGATGTAAAACTGTCCAAATCCCGTGAATTCGCAATTCTAACGAGTGTCTAGGACCGGCGTCGCCATCTGTGACGTTTAGCGGCAACTAAATTTTTGAACACAAACACGTGTTAAGGTGAAGCGAAACACGTCGAGGAACTTGATCGACGCCGGTAAAGAAGATGTTTCTTAATGCCTACGTTGCCGACGTTCGTTTTTCTATTGACAGCTGTGTCGAATTATATTGGGTATTGCACTAAATGGCATACTCCACTTGTCGTTTTCGTACAATAATTATAAAGAAATCGACGTAAAACTCCAGAAATCCTCTGGATTCATGATTTCTGGGGCCCTAATTCGCTGCAGAGGGACCCCCTGCTTCATCTGTGATTTCCATGTTAATTAAATTTTCACTCCGAGTTCTCGTATTCCCATCTTTTTAGCATATAAGCGATAAAACACTTTTTTTTGCCTTTATCCCGTTCAAATGTTCAAATGTTCTGGTCTGGGCTAAGTTAAAAAATTGTTTCCAAAAATCCAAATTTTGAATCTGTCAGGACAATTCTTAGATGATCACGAGTCATGTGTCAAAGTTTCGGATAGTTTGGTCAAATACCCTTAAAAAAAAGTGTTGTATTCGAATCGACTTCGTTGAAGGTGGTTTCACTTCACCTTAACCACGGGACAAGCCAGCATTATCTTGCAATCGTTGGTGAAAGTATTTTCCATATTTTCCCTTCTGACTCTGTAATATTCCATTTCTACGGCATTCGAAATTGTTCGAGCCAAATTCTGAAACTCTTCATTTTCGGTTCTAAGCCTCGAAGAAGCGTAAAACATCGAAAACGTGCCCGGGCCACGCCATGTTGGCTCTAGTCGATGATAAGTAAATCAAGTTTTTATGAAAAATACTTACAAAAATACTACTTTACTGAAGAATACAACTTCAGGGCCTCCATATTCCCAAATTTACCGAATTTGGAACGAATCGGTACCTCCAATTCGGGGAATACTTTCCCTAACGATGTGACTTCTCATATATGTATATATATATATAGGCTCACTCTTTCATATCACCTTAAGGACACTTGAATCGAAGGCCAACACAAAGGAAAATTGCAAGTAAGCTATGAAGGAAACGTCATACGGCTTCAAGTGCGCGGTTGCAGGTACAGAGATATTACTGAATGAAACTGTGTCGTGATTTCGACGAAACGGGAAACATTTGTCAGTATTTCAATTGTTGTGCCCCTCTCGTGCTAGAAACGTGAACACTGACACCTCAGCACACAACAGAAGAAGGAGAGGAGAAATAATGCGGGATAAGAGACGACGCAGACAGTGATAAATAATAGCGGATAGTCAACTGGCAAACTTGGTCGATTGCGGAAGAAAGAGAATTTTCTTTGCACGATAAATGCGATCAGAGAGCCTCAATGAAACGTTCCTTTTCCGAGTTCTTTTCTCCTCATTTCAGGTGGCTCTCGGTTGAATTTCTTTATTTAGTATTCCTCGTTCCGTCCGAGGTATTTCATCTTCAAAGCAGATTCTCATACCAAATCTCACGAAATTCACGCCAAAAGCCCCCAGGCACTAATGGCAAAACTACTACTCTACGTAAGCGACAACTTTTCGAAAAATAAATCTATGCCGGCTATTGGATAGAGAACACCCGCGACTAGTTGAAATTAACCAGAAAGAAGAAAAACCTTAGTGATACTCTCTCCCCTATTTCGAATGAAAGCCCGATCAAATAGCACCGATTTCACGTCAAAAGCCTCAAAAGCGGGTAATCAAAATCGAGGGAGCCTCCGGCCAGGGTCATTTAATCCGCCTTAATTATTTATTACGTCGACTGAAAGCACTCGAAACAATCGGATCATAGAACGAGAACATATTTTCAAGATGCACGGTGTCATGAAGTCTCTGGACTGGAATATTTAAGGTGAAGTGAAACCCCCTTTAAATCAGTCGATTCTAATACAACACTTTTTTTTTAAGGGTCTCAGACCAAACTGTCCGAAACATTGGCACATCACTCCTGATCATCTAAGAATTGTCCTGACATATTCAAAATTTGGATTTTTGGAAAAAATTTTTTAACTTAGCCCAGACCAGAATCAAAATGGCGTCAAGCTCTCATATTTCGATCAATATAGAATTATCGAAGGCTCTGATATGTGAAACGATAGGGTCAGGACAATTTTACAACAATTTAGAACCCTCTGGTAATCGATAAACTCGCATTTGCACGGGGTAAAGGCAAGGAAAGTGTTTTATGCGCTCCTATGCTAAAACGATGGTAATACGAGATCTCGGAGTGAAAATTTAATTGACCTGGAAATCACAGATGGCGCAGGGGTCCCTCTGCAGTCAATTAGGGCCCTTGAAAGCATGAATCCAGAGGATTTCTGGAGTTTTACTTCGATTTCTTGATATTTATTGTACGAAACCGACAGGTGGACTATGCCATTTGGTACAATATCCAATATAATTCGATACAGCCGTCAACATAAAAACGAACATCGGCAACGTAGGCATTTAGAAAAGTCTTCTTTATCGACGTCGATCAAGTTCCTCGACGTGTTTCACTTCACCTTAAACGCGGATGAAAGCACGAGATTCATTTGCCTCGGGAACAAGGTTTCTGAAAGGCCGGTAACGAATTCTGTCTCAATGACCGTCTGAGAATTATTCCGCGTGTTAGCAAAGAAATATTCCAGGAAGAAAGTCCTCGACTTTAGGGCGGTAACGAGATCAAGAGCACCGGCGATCGAGTGCGAGCTCAAAGGAGCTCCTACCTTCGAAGTGCATCTTCCGACCTCGAGAGTTCACGACCGATCGAAATCTCTCGCTTTTGCGAGTGTCGTTGGTCGTCCCTGCAAACTCGAACGAGTGCGAGAACTCGCTCGAGAGCCCCTCGAAATCCTTCGTCCGATTCGTCTCAAAAGTATTTTTCCGTTTTTCGATTTCTGTTCTTTTTTTTTAATCCTCCATGCCCCACGTTTCTTATATTTTTGGAATGAAAGAAAAAGCTGAACATCGAAGAAGCGTCGGTATGGCACGGATAATGTGCTATACAAACGTGAAATACAAATTAAGTAACTTTTTAAAAAATTCCTTCCAGTCTTGAGATCTTAAGGTGAAGTGAAACACGTCGAGGAACTTGATCGACGTCGATGAAGAAGATTTTTCTAAATGCCTACGTTGCCGACGTTCGTTTTTATAGTGACAGCTGGATCGAATTGTATTGAATATTGTACCAAATGGCATACTCCACCTGTCGTTTTCGTACAATAATTATAAAGAAATCGAAGTAAACTTCCAGAAATCCTCTGGATTCATGCTTTCTGAGGCCCTAATTAACTGCAGAGGGACCCCCTGCGTCATCTGTAATTTCCAGGTCAATTAAATTTTCACTCCGAAACCTCGTATTCCCATCGTTTTAGCAAAGAAGCGCATACAACACTCTTTTTGCCTTTATCCCGTTCAAACGCGAGTTTATCGATTACCAGAGTGTTCTAAATTGTCGTAAAATTGTCCTGACCCTTTCGTTTCTCTTATCAGAGCCTTCAATAATTGTATATTGATCGAAATATGAGAGCTCGACGCTATGTTGAGTCTGGTCTGAGCTGAGTTTAAAAAATCCAAATTTTGAATGTGTCAGGACAATTCTTAGATGATCAGGAGTGATGTGTCAAAGTTTCGGACAGTTTGGTCTGATTCCCTTGAAGAAAAGTGTTGTATTCGAATCGGCTGATTTGAAGGGGGTTTCACTTCACCTTAAGAAAAATGTTTTATTCGAGTCGACTGACTTGAAAGTGGTTTCACTTCGCCTTAAAATCGTAATGGTGAAGAAAGCGTGTTTGAAAATCAAGAATTCATATCGTGTACGCTACTTCGAAGTCGCAAGGGTGCACGGATGGCTTTAGGCTCTCCCTTGTCAGAAAATCTTGGGAAGGCCGGAATTTAGCATCCAGGAAAGTGCCTCGTGACTCGAGTCCACTTTGGAAGCATTTTGAAATAACGTTATTACTCTCCGAGAGTCGCGAGTCCTTGGCAGTCCCCGAGGCAGAGGTGGTTCGCGTTCGCCCGGGCAATTTCCCCGAATTTCCGGGAATTTCCCGCCGTTTCGAGGATACTTGGAGAAAATGCCGGGCATTTCAATGCACTCGGAGGTATCGCGAGGCTTTCTCGCCGCATAATTGACGTTAGCGCTTCCCGGAGCAAGAGACGAGCCACCGGACGGTGGGACATTTGTCACGAGGCGAGTTCAAAGGAGAGGCCGAAAGCTCGATAGCGTTTGACGTGAACGCGGTTTGCGCCCCTAATGGCGGGGCGCAGGGTCGCAGGGGCACCGGAAGTCCCCCGGTGGCCGGAAGCGAGGAGTAGAGGCTGCCAGAAAGAGAGGAAAGTCAGAAAAGAAGGCGGGAGGTGTCCTGGGAGAGGCGTCGGCGGTGGCGGTCGAGTTTTTCGACCCGTGGCAGAGAAACGTGTTCGTGAGACGCGAGGCAGCGCAAAAAGGACAACAGACAGTTAAAAGCCCACAACTCCACCGCATCAATTTATACCCCCCCGCCACGGAAAGCTCGCCGGAAGTTCTAGGGACTTTTAGACCGGACTAGGCCCAGGAGATCGTTCCGTGGCCGGGCGGACTGTACCTAGTGCGCAAAACGGGAAAAAGAGCCTGACCCACGAATGAATGGGTGAAACGAGCGGATGGCATTCTGAAAGAAAGAACATCAATTCAATTCCTTTAACGTGCCGCTGTGCCTTCCACCACGCTCTTGCGAGCGAGGAGAGTCGCGGGGCTAACGAGGTAACGCGCGCCCGTCCCGGAGAACGGAGCGGTTCGACTTTGGTTCCACGCGCAACACCGAAGGAGTCGGAAGTGGAACCCTGGCTATTCGCGAACCAGGTACCGTCACCTCGCTGCCGCTCCCTCGACTTCTCCCCGTTCTCCTCTCTCTTGATACCGGGAAAACGATTCTCTTCCACCGAGGTGGAAGAGAACCGATTTTCCTTGAGGTATTACTTTTTTCTCTCCAGTCCTTCTCCCTCTCTCTTTCTCTTTCTCCGTGACGCTTGGCACCCGGCGTCTTGCGGATCTTATTCGCGCGCGTTTCCTTTGTTTACTGAAAACCGGTAATGCAATATGTTAACAAAGAATACCAAGCGCGGCCTGATCTCTCTCCACCATATCTCTTGTCCACATCGCGGTAAGAAATGGGTCGTAAAAGTCCCCAGGATTTTCAGCGCGTCTCTCGCGTAAATAACTCGACCAAAGAATATCTATTGTCATTTCCCTGAGTGCCCGATTATACTTTAAGACGAAATCATTTCGACTTGGAATGAAATACCGTCCTTCAGGGTCAGTCATCCCCCCTGGGGCGCTGAAAACCCTAGGAACTTATGAAATCCCACTTTTTGCCATACATTCACCGATCTTCCTTTTTCCTTTTCATTAACGCTCATCTTGGCCACAAATGCGAGCTATTAAAAAGAAGTGCGAAATTAAAAATGGGGCTGGAGGGGGGTGACGATACGGGAGGGAAATCGCTCGGAACGGGCGTTGACTCGAAATTAGGGATCTACTAGTTTTCGCAAACATTTCATCGTATCTTTACAAAGGTCTCGTCAAAACGTGTCCGGAACTCGACACGTCTATAATCAATCGGCAATTATAAAAGTTATTAATTCGATCTAACGGGGGTGTAAGGAGCGAGGGGTCTCTACAGCAGGGCGTGCAGGGGTTGCTGTTAATATTTACAGAAAATTCAGAAAGATCAGGACGTAAACCCCCTGACGACTCGTTCCATGTCGCCCTTTGTTTCCCAGAGCTCGTCCCTCTATTTTTTAGGAAATTCGGAACGCTTCGCGTTAATTATAATTTCTCCCCTAATAATCACAAATAATAACGCGAAAACAGCTTCGAAAGCGTCCCGTTTCCCGATCAGGAAAAATTCAGCCACCATTTTCTGCAATACGCGTGTTTGTTGTGCTCAACCTTCTACCCTTACAGTCTCTACTTGCTGCAAAATTATTGAATTCAATGTAGAAGAGATCGAGGTCAAGTGTAACATGGGGCAATTCTAACAAATATTGTAAATTATTTATTCAAACTTGAAAAAGCACGGTGAAGCAGTGGAAGCTTTCCATAGATATTATGAATAACCCGCAGTGAACTGCTTCAAGCAAATTCGCGAAGGTTCGAAATGAAGAGCGTTCTGGTGGTCGATCTTCACCGAGAACGCGAGGGCACTTGAAACATTATTTTTACCGAGGCTGATGAAGGATTTCGCTCCGGTGCCTAAGTACGTTCTACCGAATGCACGGAGTTTCTGAGCGGGCAGAAAGACATACATATCAAATATGGAGCTCGGCAATTAATTTTGGAAGCGTTCCAAAATTCGACCGCTCGAGGGACCTTGAGCCAAAAGTTTGGAACTCGTTTGTGAAGTTGCGATACGAAGCACGAAGCGTTACAGGTTCGAGGTAACGAAAACACGTGATCCCAACTCTACTACTCGAAGCTGCTTGGAAGTATTTCTCCGTTGGATGCGACGGTTAACCACAAAGGCAGAGAGAAAATCTTTTTGTATCATTTTACAAGGAGAAAGTCCCTGGATATAATTGACTGACGAAGCGTTCCGAGCTTCGCGCAAACGCGCCGGCCTCGAACTGCCAAGAAGTACTTGGCGTCGTGACTCTACTGCTAGAGAGTCGTCCCCGAGGACTGGAGAACGTTTCGCCACCCCCCACCTCGTGCAAGGGCGGGTAGAGTTGCCGTGGACGGGACGAGTCGCGTCCCATTTCCCATGGACCGGCTAATTTGAAACTGCGACCAACCCTCGCAAAGTTGGAGAAAATCCGGATAAAACATTTAACCGTTTAAACAGTCGACTAATTTACCACCCGGAACATCTTGGATCGTGCAATTGTAAGAAAATACCGCATTGACCCAAGTAGAACACTTCCTTGGCCAAAATATAGCGAAATATTGGTCCATTACGTGGACGTTAGCCAATATACAGCCAATAATTTTGCAAATGTTGGATGCAATTTGCAAATGTTGTCCGTTGGATGCGACGGTGAACCGCAAGGGCAGAGAGAAAATCTTTTTGTATCATTTTACAAGGAGAATGTCCCTGGAGATAATTGACTGACGAAGCGTTCCGAGCTTCGCGCAAACGCGCCGGCCTCGAACTGTCGAGGAGTACTTGGCGTCGTGACTCTACTGCTAGAGAGTCGTCCCCGAGGACTGGAGAACGTTTCGCCACCCCTCACCCCGTGCAAGGGCAGGTAGAGTTGCCGAAATTGAAGGGGAACAAGTTCCCCATGGACGGGACGAGTCGCGTCCCATTTCCCATGGACCGGCTAATTTGAAACTGCGACCAACCCTCGCAAAGTTGGAGAAAATCCGGATAAAACATTTAACCGTTTAAACAGTCGACTAATTTACCACCGGAACTTCTTGGATAGTGCAATTGTAGGGAAATACCGCATTAACCCAAGCAGAACACTTCCTTGGCCAAAATATAGCAAAATATTGGTCCATTACGTGGACGTTAGCCAATATACAGCCAATCATTTTGCAAATGTTGAAATTAATTTCTATTTTAAATATTGAAAATTAAATGTCATTTAAGTATTGAAAATGAAACACTTCCTTCGCCAAAATATGGCGAAATATTGGTCCATTACGTGGACGTTGGCCAATATACAGCCAATAATTTTGCAAATGTTGAAATTCATTTCTATTTTAAATATTGAAAATCAAAAGTCATTTAAATATTGAAAATGAAACACTTCCTTGGCCAAAATATGGCGAAATATTGGTCCATTACGTGGACGTTGGCCAATATATAGCCAATAATTTTGCAAAGGTTAAAATTCATTTCTAGTTTAAATATTGAAAATCAAATGTAAATTAAACATTCGTTCGACATCGTAAGTCGCAGTCCTTGTTTACATATATTGTTTCAATGTTGTTATTCCCAGTTATATATAAGATATATGTTTTTCAGTATTGAATTTATAGCAAATTTTATATTTTAAGGCCAATATTGCATTAACTACGGAAAAACCGTATTGCTTCTAAGCTGCTATTTCCACGTGAACTCTATATTAGCAATGTGATACTATACTTATATATTAGCAAACATTTATTCCATATTCTTTTATCAATGTCACTCCGACGATCGCAATGAAATATTGACGATTTACGAATTCGACATGGAAATACCAACATAGCACTGATCCGTAGAAACAATGTTGGTTGTATATTTTTATTTAAACACGTTTCAATATTTATAAATATACGCATGAAATATTCATCTAATATTGAAATAAGTACAGGCGATAGAAATTTGTTTTCGGACGTGGAATACATACATCTTTTCAATACTTTTTAGACATTGTTTTCTTAAAACTGTTCAACATTCAAATACGCATATTGGTATAATCTTTCAAAATGTTCACAAATTGTACTCGGTAAATATTTGAATTTGTTACACGACCAATATTTATATATAGGAAACCCAATGTTTAAGCAATACTGCTTTTCTACTTGGGGAAACTGCGGATCCACGGAAAGACTTGAACTATCCTTCAAGTTCTGAACGGTAATTAGTCACAGGATTTATTTCTTAAAAAAAGAAGAAGAAGAACCAAATCTCTTGCGCGGCCGTTAAATTAATCGGGCTCGGTTCTGAACCAACTCTGGATTAACTGTATATACGTTTTGCGTCCGATTACCTGTGGACCTCCCTCGACCTCTTGACCCCGTTGACCCGTGAGGAGTGCAAGATGGCTGACCTCCGCAGAGCGAGATGTCCAAAGGATTGGTGGTCACGTTGATGTTGGGCTTGTTCTTTTGGCCGGATTTGGACTCGCTGGTTCCCTTATCTGAGGATTGCTGGATTCTGGAGATACCGTTGAACGACTCGCTCGCGTTTTGCCTCTCCTTAGCGGCGACCAGCGACAGCATCGAGTTGATATGGTTCGCGTCCGGTTGACCGGCATCAACCGAACCTCTGACGGGGGTGCTGAAGAATAAACGGACGAATCCCTCGGGATTAAAACATAGAAAAACGTGTAAAGTCAGTTCTACGTCTATACCGGAGATCGAAGAGAACCGATAGCCCGTAAAGCGATGAAGCAAAATTTCGCATTCAAGATGGCTTTGAAAATTGGAGATGATTCGAATGCTAGAGACGTACGAGGATGTATAAGAGTGTCCCGTAAGTTTCTTCCTTTTCTTTGATACGAAATGAATACACGGTGCGGAAGGAACTTATGGGACACCATAATATTAGGGTTCCTTGTTCCGTGAGTTATTGGTTAGCCCATTACAGAAAAGACATTCCGAGGATGTTCAGTCGGGGATGAAATCGGTCGGAGGTAAAAAGTAGACAGGTTGAGCGTCGAATTAATGCTCGGCACTTCGGAGGTTGAAAAATCCCAAATCGAAAAACAGTTCTGAGGGATCAGCAAAAGTCACGGCAGATCCCTATTCGGGAGCTGGATGGAACGTTCTGCGCTCCTTTCTCAAAAGGAAAAAAAACACCCTCGAGGATTTTCAGGATTCCAGGGCGGGATGGAAATTACCGTAGGAGGTCCCTCGGGAACCTGGGGAGGTCCCGGAAGAATATTCCACGAGTCGGTCTCGTTAGGGATCCGCGACCCGCCGATCGGGAATCAGAGCGTGAAGGTGCTTCTTCTGCCGCGACAGATGCTTAATGCTGCAGAAGTTAACCCGGGGTAAAGAGAGGTCGGGGAGGTCCCTGAAGACGCGAGATCCGTCCATTGATATTTTTCTTTTTTTGCCCAACTAGACGCAATTCAAATCATTTTTAAACACGAACGCCTTTTCCCCTATCAACACCTGGTCGTGTCTAAAGTTATCGTACGAAAGAACAAAAGTACCCGGAACTTAACACATTTGCGACCGCTGACGTGAATTCACGTATTTTCAAGTTCTATTCCTGATTGCCGCTGACGTGAATCACGTCCATAACGATACACGATACAAGTTTGCGGCAACCACTTTCAGAATTTCATTATTTTCGCCGGTACTCAGTATTTGAAACTGAAAAAATTTGCCGCGAGCGAATGTGTTAAATAATTCATTCAAAGGAGAGAACTGTAATTAAATTACTTTATAATCTCTCCCAGAACCTCGCGGGGAATAGACAAGGGATTCGGAGGTGTTGCAGCGTGGTCAGGAATATTTAGAAAGGGTAGAAAAACCAGGTTACACCCTACTCTCCCCTCGCCACTTCCACGTGCTCGACTCGCCTCCGGGCCTCCTATGAGAGAGGACCCCACGTCAACATTGGGCCGTACATAGGGCATCATCATTCCATCATCAACATTCGCAAATCACGCACAAAGTGTAGAGGCCTTAAGGTGAAGTGGAACCCCCTTCAAATCAATCGATTCGAATACAACACTTTTTTTTAAGGGTATTGGACCAAACTGTCCGAAACTTTGACACATCACTCCTGATCATCTAAGAACTATCTTGGCACATTCAAAATATGGATTTTTTAAAAAAATATTTTAATTTTGTCCATACCAGAACCAAAATGGCGTCGAGCTCTCATATTTCAATCAATATACAATTATCGAAGGCTCTAATATGAGAAACGAAAGGGTCAGGACAATTTTACTACAATTTAGAACACTCTGGGAATCCATAAACTCGCAATTGAACGGGATAAAGGCAAAAAAAGTGTTGTATGCGCTTCTATGCTAAAACGATGGGAATACGAGGTCTCGGAGTGAAAATTTAATTGACCTGGAAATCACAGATGGCGCAGGGGATCCCTCTGCAGTCAATTAGGGCCCCAGAAAGCATGAATCCAGAGGATTTCTGGCGTTTTACTTCGATTTCTTTATAATTATTGTACGAAAACGACAGGTGGAGTATGCCATTTGGTACAATACCCAATATAATTCAACCCAGCAGTCAATATAAAAACGAACGTCGGCAACGTAGGCTTTTAGAAAAATCTTCTTTATCGCCGTCGATCAAGTTCCTCGACGTGTTTCACTTCACTTTAAGGCGACACGAAAGCGTGATATATATACGTACGCAAAAAGTGAAAATATTGATGAAGCTTTTCTTCAAACTGGATGCACCAGGACGATCCAACTCCATAAATTATTCCCGGCCATAAAAGCGAGACGCAAACTTGACGGAAAACCGTGTCTCTGGTTCAAAGGGAGGCAAAGCGTGTCCCGGATCGAATCGGGAAAACTTCCTTACGGCGCCGTTCCGCGAGCCTCCTCCCTCCGTTCTTCCTCCCCGGCACGTACGCGCACTTCGAAGAAGAGGCCTTGCATTTTCCCTGGGTACCGAACAAAACTCGCGCAATTCGACCTAAGTGCCCCCCTGCAGAGGCTAGCTCGAGATCACGAGAACCCGCGAGGAGTGTTAACGCGCGAAGAGTTTGAAAAGCTGGGCTGAAAGGTTCTCCTTGGGCTCGTATGAAAAGGGACTAAAGGTGGACCAAAATAGCCGCCCGACAACGGAACTAATGGCGTTCACCAACACCCTGGGATAACTGCATTTAGATGACATCCGAGTTTTTGAGCACGCATTGGTGCTCTAAGCTTCCCATAGAAGCTTTTTCTTCTTTAACCTTTTCGTTACCTTGGACGAGATATCTCGCGACTCAATCCTGGCCGATTAACGCTTTTGACGAGATATCTCGAGATCCGGTAGTAGCGGATTAACGCTTTTGACGATAATCTAGCTTCCTGGCACTAATATTTTGACATTCTAGACAAATTATACCACGTAGAAAGTAAATAAAAATAATTTCATTAAATTAATAAAAACTGTATTTATTTCTTCCTTTTAGCTATACGAATTGAATTAGTTATAAAACATATTCATCCAGAATGTCAAAATATTGGTGCTAGAAAGCTAGATTATCGTCAAAAGCGTTAATCCGCTACTACCGGATCGCGAGATATCTCGTCAATCATCCAGAATGTCAAAATATTGGTGCTAGAAAGCTAGATTATCGTCAAAAGCGTTAATCCGCTACTACCGGATCGCGAGATATCTCGTCAAAAGCGTTGATCGGCCAGTATCGGGTTGCGAGATATCTCGTCAAAAGCGTTAATCGGCCAGTATTTGGTCGCGAGATACCTCGTCCAAGGTAACGAAAGGGTTAACACATTCGCTCGCGGCAAATTTTTTCAGTTTCAAATACTGAGTACCGGCGAAAATAATGAAATTCTTAAACTGGTTGCCGCAAACTTGTATCGTGTGTCGTTATGGACGTGATTCACGTCAGCGGCATCGGGAATAGAATTTAAAATGACGTGAATTCACGTCAGCGGTCGCGAATGTGTTAATATTTCCCACGTGGTAGATCGTAACGCATCTACGAGAAACCTGCGTTTATGCAAATTTAAAGTGCCATAGTGCAGGGTATATTGATTTTTTAAAATAGACCGATGAACTACGCCTGGCAGATACCCCGTTAAAAACCATTCATAAAATTCATACACGGTTAGTACATAAGATTGTTATAAAATTATAAATTCGACATTCATTTCGTCGTCTATACCTTCGGACTCCGTATCCAGATCGTACCAAAATTTACATAAGACCATCGGGAAGATCTACCTTCTTTCCAACAATAAAAGGAAATCATCGCCATTCCAAAATCTGGTGAAAAGTTATGCGTGAGCGTATGTATAAAAAATATGAACATGTACGGGAACCCGATTCTGGAGTTCATACGATCAACTTTTGCATGCGAAATTGACAGTTCGTATCCAACTGTCAAATATTGACCAACAACGAGACTTTGCAACAGTGCGGAATTTTGCATGCGAATCCATTCATCTGTGAAAAAAATGCGCATGAATTCCAGAATCCGATTCCTGGTCGAATTGGTAACCTTCTCCTTTTTTAGATGTCGGTTCAAAATCAAACGGAAATGAAAATAGAAGATTCCTTCCGATCCATATTTTTGGATACGAATCTATTCGTATGCGAAAAACATGCGCATGAATTCCAGAATCGGATTCCTGGTCGAATTGGTAACCTCCACCTTTTTCGAAGTCGGTTCAAAATCAAACGGAAATGAAAATAGAGGATACCTTCCGGTCCATAATTTTGCATGCGAATCCATTCAGATGCAAAAAAAATGCGCATGAACTCCAGAATCGGATTCCTGGTCGAATTGGCAACCTCCTCCTTTTTTAAAAGTCGATCTAAAATCAAACGGAAATGAAGATAGAAGATTCCTTCCGATCCATGATTTTGGATACGAATCTATTCGTATGCAAAAAAAATGCCCACGAACTCCAGAATCTGATTCCTGGTCGAATTGGCAACCTCCTCCTTTTTTAGAAGTCGGTTCAAAATCAAACGGAAATGAAGATAGAGGATTCCTTCCGGTCCAGCTGCGGCAACTCGAAAAAACGTACCTAAAGAAATCGGTGACCTTGAGGTCGGGCAGGGGCGGGGTCCGTCCGCTGGTGAAGGTGAACCTGGACTCTTGGTGAGTCCCGATCATCGGGGTGGGTGGCGGGGCCCCAGGACTGTCTACGGCGTGGTTCGAGCTGGGGGCCTGGCCCCCGGGGGCAGTGCTGTGCTGGGCGTCCTTCGTACCGGATGCTGGGGTGGATTCTACGTAGCCGGAGTTGGCTCTGGACGGGGTCTGCGTGGTACCGCTCTGCGAGTGGGTGGTCACGGGGGGTGGCGACATTTCCGGGAATCCGTCTATCAGGTCCAAACTGTCGTCCGGCTGCTCACCGTCCGTCGTGGTCACCTGAAACCAGGTTATTTCGACGTCATACGGTGGAGTCGAGGTTACCGCGAAACTTGGCCCGATGTCAATCACAATGGACAGTCTCCGAGGAGGTGCGCATAATTCGTAATCCGATTCCTTATTGGTATTCGCAAAACAATTTCTTACAGGTGGTTTAACCCTTTTAGTGCCGGGCGAAAAAGAGGTGCTTATGCGAAGATAACCGGCCGAATTTTACGATTTTACTAGGATTTGGAAAAAGGCTCATAGAAACCAAACGAAAAGCAATATTTACATAATTCAAAAAGCAGGGTATTAAGGACAAAATAGAGAATAAAACGGTGACGGTAATTTTTCTATATTCATTGAAAATTACATAAATAACAAAGGTATAAGTGATCAAAAAAATAAGAAAAATTGAGTTCTCTGTTTCAAAACGTAATTGCACATAGGAAAAGTCATCTTTTTATCATAAATTTATGTAGACCGTTTATTGCAAAGTAAATACTTTAAATTTCCAATATATTTTTTAACAAAATAAGTAATATTGCACAAGGAACATAAAAAATAACTCCAAGGCACATGGGAGGCGCCGGACGGATTATCTCATCCGAAACAAGTAATTGTTATAGGTTATAGGTTGTTACAGGTAGGTTATAGGTTGTTATAGGTGTTGTTGTATCGTTATTTTAATTCTCTCGTAATGAAATTAGACTATTTATAACGTATTATAAAATTATTTTGAGATAGAGATCTCTCGCAAAGCGAATAGTAAAGCGCTACAAGGTGCGGGCCGATATATCGGCTCTGGCACTTTTCGCCAGTGCAGCGAGGGCCGATATATCGGCCTCCGGCACTAAAAGGGTTAAAGGGCCGCTAAATCTGGAGTTGAAGTACAGACTGTAGAATTTCAAGTGGCAGCATCGACACGGCGTATCGTTTCGGAAATATGTTAACTGGGGCGGATTCTGTTTATCGAATTCTCCCTAGTAGCATAGAATAATTTCTAAATATTTCTTTGTAATCTTTGCTAAATATCGCAAGCGACAGATCTTTTAAGATTTCCTGTAGATTTCATTCGAAGATATTTGAAATATTTCTTGAAAATCTTAAAGACATATTTAGTTTCAATAATTTATAAACATATATAGAAATTATATTTTCTAACCTATGAACGTAATAATAATACATTTTTTACTTCACGACCGTTATCGGACACTTCATTTGGTTTCAAAAGACACGAGGTATTTTTCTAATATTTTCGTCCCGCTATTTCATTATGGGAGCACGACTGTGATTTTGATTTTAAATATTTTTAAAACGTTTATAATCTATTCGGCAGATAATATTTAAAAGATACTTCTATTAAAATGAAACGAAATGTTTTGTATATCTGGTAGAAAAATATTATGAAAACACATGGTAATATTATATAAATATTATAGGGATAATATTCTAAAGTAAACGTTGAGCAAATATTTCAAATGTCTGCTAAATATTAACAAAATGTACGATATTCGTTACATACATAGAACATATAGGACAAATATTTTGTGCTACTAGGGCTATGTATATGCAGGGATGATTATACGAGAGAAAGAGGAAAAGGGAAAAATTAAAAGGCAAATTATTCTCAGATGTAAATTAAATGCAGCCACTGATTTGAATTCTGAAATTCCGGTATTCAATTTCGGATTTAGCGACCTTTGGAATTCTGAAATAAATTCTTATAGACATGAGATTACGGAATCAAACAACATAGGTTATGCGCACATTCCGTTGCATCGAACTGAGCAAGGATTTCTAATTTCTAGATAGGACCCAATGATACAGAAAATGATGTCGTTAAGCAGAATGCACATTATTTCCTCGACTCCGATTTACTAGATTTTAATTTGGTTTAGATTTATCGCTAATTAAAATGTATAACAATTCCGTCTCAAGTCCTCCGTCTCTAACAATGGCGAAGCACGTAGTGGCTGTTATTCGATGCGACAAGCTCGATTAAACTTCTACCCGAAATTGATTAACTCCCAGCCTCGGTACGCAGTCTCCACTTTAAGGTGAAGTGAAACCTCCTTCAAATCAGTCGATTCGAATACAACACTTTTTTTTAAGGATATTAGACCAAACAGTCCGAAACTTTGACACGTCACTCCTGATCATCTAAGAATTGTCCTGACACATTCAAAATTTTGATTTTTTTTTAAATTGTTTAACTCAGCCCAGGCCAGAACGAAAATGGCGTCGAGCTCTCATATTTCGATCAATATACAATTATCGAGGGCTTTGATATGAGAATCGAAAGGGTCAGGACAATTTTACGACAATTTAGAACACTCTGGTAGTCGATAAACTCGCATTTGAACGGGATAAAGGCAAAAAAAGTGTTGTATGCGCTTCTATGCTAAAACGATGGTAATACGAGGTCTCGGAGTGAAAATTTAATTGACCTGGAAATCACAGATGGCGCAGGGGGTCCCTCTGCAGTCAATTGGGGCTCCAGAAAGCACGAATCCAGAGGATTTCTGGAGTTTTACTTCGATTTCTTTATAATTATTGTACGAAAACGACAAGTGGAGTATGCCATTTGGTACAATATCCAATATAATTCGACACAGCTATCAATAGAAAAACGAACATCGGCAACGTAGGCATTTCATGGCATTTGAGGAATTTGATCGACGTCGATAAAGAAGATTTTTCTAAATGCCTACATTCGTTTTTATATTGACAGCTGTGTCGAATTATATAATATATAATTTCAAAATAATGCAACTGTATAATTTGCAAGCACAAATTCTGATGAAAACCGGGACATGTGTAATTGCCCCAGAATCATTTATTAGTTAAACTGTGAGTCTACACATCTCTAGTGCTTATCTTACAAAATATTAACATCACGACTCTTCAATTCGTGTTTAATGTTGACATTTCTTACTCATTGTCGTTAAACATTGCGGGTCACCGTTGTATTCACCTATCAACTGTGTGCTAGTCTCATTGGATGATTATTAATTAATTTTGAACGTCTCAACAATAATACATGCTTTACTTCATAACGTTTTCATTAAGAATGATGTTATGTGCTTGCGACAAATGATAATTATCACTCAAGTGAATTACTTTGTTACTACAGTTGTAGACGTTACTGCCAAATCGATGTGTCTACAACTATTCCGTACAATAGCTCATATTTCACTTAAATTGCACATTGTATATTTTTAGCAGACTACAACTCTTGAAAACTACATTCTCCACATTTACACGCTGTTGTCGTTACAGTTATTAAAATTGTAGTAGGAGTGATATTTCATTTTTCTCAGTAAAATTTTCCTATATCGTCTAAAAATTATTAGAAAATACATAATATATTTGCATTCTGTCAAAACTGATCGGATTCGTACAAACGAACCCTGTAAATTTAATAAAACACAACTAGTCGGTCTGGAAACTTTTGTTATTAGAAAAGAATTTGTATAATATCGTTTATCCTAATTCCAGTTATTACAACACCTTTTCCGTGGAATACACGCAGGTGGGAAGAAATCAATCACCAAGCTGGTATCTATTATTACATTATAGGACAATGTTTCTCAAGAAATATAATAAAATATAGGCCGTATTGCTCAGCAAATGCTAGAAGGCCAGAAAAACCTGCAATTACTTGCCAGTTTACCTGTCAGGGTAGAGTTGACACATTTCCTGATTGTTTGACAAAATGTTCGAGGTCTTCCAGTAATGTAATATTCATATCGATTACGGATGACATGCTTTGCGGTTGACATTTCTCAATATACTACATAACATGGTGCATTACTGAAATTCATGGAATTCAGTGACGTTTCTTTGAATGCATGTAAAGCGTCTTAGGTATTCCCTGAGTTACCCCTCGAGCCGCGCTTGACCCGAATTTATAAAGTTTACTCACGGGTCTTCAAATTTCATCTAAAGCATCTTACCCCTCTTAACTCTCTACTTTTTACATTTTATTTCGCTAGGTTCTTAAGCATCCGAGAAAAATTATACGATCTCGGCATATGAGCCCATAATTATGAAAGTGGTCTAAGTCAAAATAAAAAAAATATGAGTTTATCAGTTATTTCACCCCACATTATTTTAAACTATATTAATTCAATGTAATTTTTACGATATTGTCAAAAATGAAACATTAGAGAGTGGTTGTAATTTCAACATTATATGGAATTCATTTAGTGTTATACCCCACCACTAAACCAGTCACGAACGAAAAACAAAAAGATATTATGTGTTTACTACCCTTCCCTTTCCTTCACTTTTTCAGGAACATTTTAAGAATCTTAAAAACTCATCATGACAAAAGCCTAAAATGATAAATATGGATTACTTTTTAAAAATAATTAATAAACGTTCATAAATGATTTCATTAAAATTATTGTTTGTAATAAAACTCGTAGTTTTTTTATTGCTTTTCATAACCAAAGAACTTTACTTCTTGAGCCTAGTATCTGTCAAATAACTTCTTGCACGAAGCTAGGGGAACTTCGTGTCTCGACAAAGGCACATCTATCTCACTTCTTAGTAGATCAGAGTATCAACCAATCACGCTAACGCGTTCACTGACAATTCGACTTACTTCGAATGGGGTATACGATTAGTTAATCGCGCTCTAAATAAATGTGGGGGAACATTTGCTATTAACCCATAATTACCTTGGATGTTAACTTTAACCTACGATTAAGTAATCAATGGTTTAACCGAGGTTGGTGGAACTGGGCATACAACTTCTCGTAACGCCCGTTCTGGGTGATGGTCTGATTATGATGACAGCCAAGATTGGCTGTAGCAAAGATTTGTCGGCACTTATGATAAGTATCCATCGTGCAATTCGGAATATCGATGAAACATTGAAAAGTGATACCCGGACTGAGCACTCACCGTGGTGACCATCGTGTTGGCACTATCAGTGCTGGTGTTGATGGTGGTCTCGGAAGCCGTGCTGGACCCCATGACCACGACTTTGGGAACGGTGCGACAGCTACGACTTCCGCCCGCGGACTTGAAGTTAAGCCTCTTCAGGGCGGAAGCCGCGTGGGCCACCAGGTCCCCGTTGCGGGAACTTCCGGTCCCGTGGTGTCCCCGCGGTGGCGACGACTGCGACCCCCCGGAACCGCCCCCGCCACCCCTCAAACCGCCCACCTCGCCGGCCGAACCTCGGTTTTCCGGGCATCCCTGGAAAAAAAGATCGAGAATCCGGTAATTCAACCTCCACTTCGTAACCGACGACCTAACGCCCTCTCCAGAGTCGACAGAAAATAGTCTCAGAATCCAGTACCGACCTCAAGGCGATAAAAACTTTTAAGATGATATGAAAGGTGCTGAGAAATATAATCGACGTTGATAAATTAAAATTCAATCGTACCCGTTTTGGTGGTAACTTCATTTTGAATACTCAGGTGGTAACGTAAACTGGCGCGTCCCGTTACCGACATTTATATTCATGTTGGTCTTTTACAGTCTACGTTGAGAATTATACGAACTGAAGCGTTCCATATATCATTTCAGTAAAGTAATGATGAAGAGATCGACGTGAAACTGTCGAAATACCGGGAATTCATTATTCTAACGACTGTTTAGGACCAACGTCGCCATCTGTGACGCTTAACTGCAACTAAATCGTTGCTCTAAAAACACACGTTGGCTATGAGAGACGTGCTCTTGCAATCTTTGGTGAAAGTATATTCCATATTTTCCTATCTAACTCTGGAATATTTCATTTCTACGGTATTCTAAATTGTTCGAGTTAGGTCCTGAAACTCTTAATTTTCGGATTCGAAGCCTCCAAGAATCGTAAAACCTCGAAAACGTGCCCGGACCACAGAATGTTGATTCTAGTCCATCATAATTAAATAAATTTTGTGATGAAAAATGAAATTTCGTGAGTTCCAGAACCTATTCGAAGGCCTCCATATTCCCGTGGTTAAATTTGAAACGAATCGGTACTCCCAATTCGGAGAATACTTTCCCCGACGATTTGACTTCTCAGATACATATATATATATAGGCTGACTCTTTCGTATCACCTTAATCCCTACTTTCGTACAAATGAAAAATATTCTAGGTCAGTTCGAAATACTAAGGCAGAAATTAATGGATATTACTTTGGCAAGAGGGCGCTTAAATGAAGTCATTAAAACTTTCAGATCTTGGCCCCTAGTTATAATTCAAATAAATGTGCATAAATGTATAGATATGTGTAGGTAGATTTATTAATTGCTACGAATTTTGCGGATACGCAAAAAAGGGAAAATAAAAGGACCTGAAATTTCGAGGTTAGGTAATTGGCAGGGTGACGACCAGCGATGTCAATAGTCGGTCTTACGAATTGCGAGCGACATAATTTTCGAGATCTCGGGGAAACGTCGTAATTGCTGTTCCACGCCGAGCGGAAGATATTTCCTTTCAGAAGAAATTATGCCCGAGTGCTTTCCGGGAATCGATCGGCAACGCGTCGTCCTGTAATGAGAATTCCCTAGACAATTGGTTTGCTCGGATAGCTCGCGTGCGACACAATTTTAGAGGGCGATCCGAACGATAAGCGAAGGACATTTTGCGTGGGCTGTGGATGTTTCTGATCCTCCGCGGAGGCACAAATCCACTTTGCCATAAAGACCATATCCTCTTATCCGTCCGACCCAATATAGCCCTTATCGCGAAGTGAACCGGCACGGCTACGCCAGATATCTAAAAACGGAAGAACCAAATGTATGTACGTACAAAGTATAAAAAGAAGACTAAGAGAACTCCACAATGGCTCGCAGAACTTTATCACGCGTTCCGACCCGCCGGATCAATTTGATATAAAATTGCATCTCTTCAAAAAGAGTTCATAAATGATACTTGGTTTTTTTTTTCAATTTTCTGAAAATTTCAGCGCACCGACCCCGGACACTAAATGCTTGCGAATCGCAACTTGAGGACTCAAGAGTAAAGGGATTTCATTTGATTTACTTGAATCACAAATAAGTGAGAAATTGTACATTTTTCTCGTCGCAATATACAATGGAGAGAAAAACCGATAGGGTTTCGCGAGCGGTTAAATCACGGCCTCCTATTACCAGGGTATCGGTCAAAGTCAGTCAATTCGAGGAGTAAATTATCAGGCCATTGCAGAGGCACGTGAGTGATGTAGGTCATGTGCGGTATTCGCCGCGGGTGCAAAGCGCGCGAAATAACTACCGGGGGATAAATTGTTCCGTCCGTGGTGCAGCTGCGGAATCGTCGGGACGGATCGGTTACTCTCCGCACATTTTTCACGGAGCCCGAAGAACAAGAGGTCCACTTTTCAACCCTTTGGGAGTGAGCGCACCCTTAAAAAGGATCCTTAAATCTCCTATCTCTCCACCCTCCACCCTGAAAAAAGGAAATTTCGCCGAGCCGCTCACTTCGATTTTCGATAAAACATTTTGGAACCGCTTTTACGGGCAAACTCGAGGAGCAAAAAATCCCGAAAGGAAGTAAATCAGGTCGCTAAGAAATTCTGGAGAAATTCCCCTCCAATATTCTTCGCTGGGAGGCTGGAAAACTAATGACCGGTTCCACCAACCTCGGTTAAATCGTTGATTAACCGTTACCTAACCGTAGGTTAAAGTTAACATCTAAGGTAGTCAAGGATTAAAAACGTAAGCGTTCCCCCATATTTATTTAAAGCGTGATTAACTAATCGTATGCCCCATTCGAAGTAAGTCGAATTGTCGGTGAACGCGTTAGCGTGATTGGTGGATACTCTGGTTAATTAGAAAGCAAGATAGATGCGCCCTTATCAAGACACAGTCTCCCTATCTTCATACAAGAACTTATTTGACAGATAGTAGCCTCAAGAAGTAAAGTTGAGTTTGGTTACGAATTAATATAAAATATTTTCAAGCGTACTTCGATCATTAAAAAATTGTAAATAAAATCATAAACGCCTTCATCCGCTTCGTCATAAGATGTTGACACATCCTCAATATAATCCATGTTTTCCTTACGTTTATGCAGTTTTTAGGTCGAAGTTCGATTAACTGAAGCTAAACGATCGAATTTCGCTGGTTAATCTGAACGGCGGTTAATAAAAATTAACCCGCCGTTAAAATGTGGGGGAACGGGCAACGCATTGTAACCGAGGATTAGCTTTTTAACCGAGGTTGATGAAACCAAGCATTAATGTTGATTGGTACCTTGCACTGCAAATTTGGTTGAATGGGTTAAAATGCGAGTTAAAATGTCTAATCAGAATTTATATTATGTTCAAGTCAAATTTATCCTGTCAACTGCAGCGTGAATGGTCGTGATTATTTTCCTTTTCGCTTAAATAAATGGATTTAGAAACTTTCGCATAATGGATTTACGAAATGAGATCCTTTCGTTTCTAGCGATCATTAAAGTTATACATAATTCATGTTTTCCTCGCGTTTGTGCAGTTTTTAGGTCGAAGTTCGATTAACTGAAGCTAAACGATCGAATTTCGCTGGTTAATATGATCGGCGGTTAATGGAAATTAACCCGCCGTTAAAATGTGGAGAAAGGGGCAACGCATTGTAACCAAGGATTAGCTCTTTGACCGAGGTTGATGGAACCAAGCATTAATGTTGATTAGTACCTTGCACTGCAAATTTGGTTGAATGGGTTAAAATGCGAGTTAAAATGTCTAATCAGAGTTTATATTATGTTCAAGTCAAATGTATCCTGTCAACTGCAGCGTGAATGGGATTTAGAAACTTTCGCATAATGGATTTACGAAATGAGATTCTTTCGTTTCTAGCGATCATTAAAGTTATAAATAATCCATATTTTCCTCGCGTTTGTGCAGTTTTTAGGTCGATGTTCGATTAACTGAAGCTTAAACGATCGAATTTCGCTGGTTAATATGAACGGCGGTTAATGGAAATTAACCCGCCGTTAAAATGTGGGGGAACGGGCAATGTATTGTAACCAAGGATTAGCTCTTTGACCGAGGTTGGCTGAACCGGGCATAAGTGTCCCAGTATCGCGTTGCAAGGCGACGCGCACCGCCACGTACGTACATGCATAAACGACGTTAAAGCAAACCGCGCAACAATGGACGACACGAACAAAGGCCTCGATGCGCGCCATCGGCGAGAGCAGACAACTGGTAACAGCCCTGCCAACTCCAGATTAATTACAACCTGGCCAATTAAGAACTCCGATTCGAGTCCGCGGCGCATTCGTATTCCGCGCTCCGGCTTGGTGGGGCCCGCGGTGTGTGCGTTTCGTGAGTGCGGGTGAAAAAATAAAAGAAGAAAAAGCGGAAAAAAGAAAGAGAGAGAGGGAGAGAGAGAAACGGCTGGCACACTTGCCACTGTTCTCTCGAGGTCGTCCATTGACGATGCCAACCCGCACTCTGCAGGTTTCACGAGAGGGCGGTATCTTTTGTTATCACGCGAGACCAGGGCCTCTCTACGTTGAAATTCCTTTGCCTCGTTAATTCTATTAATGAAGAGTTATTGGAATTGGAAATGTGAATTAATATGAAAGTTGAAGCACGAGAAACGCCTCTACGCGAAGAAGGAGTAATTCATTTCCTCTTATTCCTCCTCTTAGAGCCGGGTGATAATGTCGATGAAAGGGTGGAACATACGGTCGGACGGTCTTTTTATCCGAGGAAGGTCCGAATTTTATCGATTTAACGGCACCCCGAGATTTTTTCGACTTCGACCCTCCAACGAAACACCATCCCCCTCGAGTCTGGCCCGTCCTGAGAAGGGTGCGAAGCCCTACTTTGGAAACCTGAGTTACGGTGTTACCCCTAAGATGTACATCAACTTCTTTGGCACTTTGGAATGAAGGGAGTCCGTTTTGCACCACCCATGAGCCTTCACCCCCGTAAGTGTTTTCCTCGAACCTGCTTGAAGGGGATGCAAAGTTCTGCCTCGAAAAGTCGTCTCATGGCGCACCCCCTAAAGAGTTACTCGAATTCCTCCTCTATGAGATCATGAAGCAGCAGGCAC